GTGAGATAAATAACGCAAGTGGGAATCAGGTAGCTGCCTGGCTGGAACAAACAGGAAATGAAATGATTGTACCAAATAAACCTACTTCACGGAGATCCAGTGCTATAATCGATTTTGGGATAACACATGATGCTACAGGATGGTATTCAGAAGTAATAGATGTAGGGACATCTGATCATTTCCCGATCCCAATACAGTCCCCCATATGCATCTCAAAATCATCATATTTTAGAGCAACAAATTGGAAAATTTTTTATTTCTTTCTTCAACTTGTATATGAATATTGGTTGACGCTGGTTTACAACTATGACGAACAATTCTTTTTTACACATTTCTCTGAATTTCTTAAATGTCTATGGGATAGATGCAGTGATTTTAAATCAGTTAAACAGTATAGGCCACCATGGCCACCATACTTAGTTGCACTTGCAAGAGAGGTAAATAAAAGAAGAAGAATCTGTCGTCGAAATAAAACGAGAAAGAATCTTGAAATATTTTTAAAAGCTAGAGCATTTTTTCGTGATGAGAGAAGTAAATTAATTCAACAAAAACATGAATCTCAAATGAAATGGATTTCAAAAGAACATAATATATGGAAGTTTGCTCGCCCTGCATTTCATGCATTTTCTCCCCCATTTCGTGGTCTTATGAGTAATTCGGAAATAATAAAAGATCCAAAAGTTATAGTTGAATTATTAGGAGATTATTATGAGCATCATTTCATGGAACCTAAACCCGATGAAAATAACCCGATGCACCAAAAGTATTTAAACACGTATAATAAAATTGCATATCTACCTAATATTCCTCTCGATAAGATAACAATTAACGAAGTTATTACAGAGTGGAAAAGGATTTCACCAAAAAAGTCTACCGATAGTGTTGAGACATCTGCATTCCTAATAAAAAAGATACCGGAAATTTATATGAACGTAATTACTGTTCTTTTTAATAAATGCTCAGATAAAGGTGACTTTTTTTCCGCTGCTAAACATGCAAAAATAGTCTGCATACCAAAGGAAGGTATATATCCAGCACCTAATCGTTTAAGACCTATATCTTTACTCCCTAATATCG